TTTATCTGGTATATCCAACAAGTATATTCCGTTCACCTCATGACCACTCCCAATCGTCATTTGAGATTTCATGTCCTAAAAAACACAATGAGTAGGAAAGAATATTACACTACAATTCATGGATTTATTCAAAATAACGGATAAAATATTGGTGTTGAGTTTGAGAACATAAACGACATAGGATAAAATAAGGGAGTTAAAGGCTTTGATATCCCTCTTGTTGGAGATGGTAGCAAGAGACCTATTAGCAAGTGATGTTTTTTCTTGGTTAGAAATGAGCTGATATTAACAAAAAAAGATTAGACATGTTGGTCATATAGTCTAATGCACCAGAATCAATAGTCCAAGAGGATTTTACGATTACTTGATATAGTAGCATGGTTTGTAGAAGCACGGACACCTAAGTGAGCAAATGCAGATGAAATGGTTTTGCTTGAGGAGTTGGATATTAAAATACTAGTCTTCAGGTGATTAATTAGCTCCTATACCTCTCAAATTTTGCCTTTACTACTACTAGATGCTCCACAACAGACTTCTCCTCAATTTTCCTATTCCTACCTTCAGGTACCATAGCAATATTTGCATTCTTAGGCTTCCTAATTTGACCACCAGTTTGACCATCCTTCTTAGAATTGTTATTGTTCCGAAACCTCTCTTGAAGAAGATCTAGATGTAACTTCCAACAGGTGTCTTTGGTACGTTTTAGTTTCTTGCAATATTCATATATTACCTCTTTCTTTTTTGTCGGTCCCTTTGGCTTTATTCCAACATGTGCATAATATTTTGAAGGTGGTCCTTGTAACTGTACTCGCTACCTACTCTCTTCACTACTCAACATAGATTATGCTTGGGAAAGAGTTATTTCATCTCTAGCCAGAATGTTCTATTTTGTAACATCAAACTCAGGGTTGAGTCCTGTACGAAACTCAAACACCCTATTTCTTTCTACCAGCTTCCTAAATGTCTCTACATCCTTGGTTCTCCCCCATACAACTATCTTCATTACATCAATTTCCTACCATAATGATTTCAACATAGAGTAGTAAACAACTACACATGTCTTAAATTGTTCACATGATTCTTTAACTTATAAGCTCTTAAAGCATTCAATTTCTGAGAATGTCTCTATAACACCATCCTAAATGTCCTTGGGTGGAGTCACTCAGAGGTAATGCTAACTTATGTGAGGCTGCATAGAGTTGACTAACCACCCAATTACTATATAATTTTCCTGTATCCATTTTTCATGTGCAGGATTAGTTTCTTCTTACTGCCTATGAGATACCCTAGTTTACCTCTACTACAAATATAAATCTTTATAGATTATGCCCAAGCCAAGTTATTTGTTCCATCCAGTTTAATTGTGGTTACTTCAATAGAAAAGGAATTTAGTGGACCAACCCTGGACATTGGAATATGCTTCAAACTACTTCTAGATTGCTTCATTGACCAAACAAAAATCCAAAAACAAGAATTTTAGTCTATATGGACCTAATTGAGGTTAGTCTAGTACCTATAGGTCCCAAAATTAGGGTTTCACTATACCTAGTCCATGGGAGAACACGAAGAAGAGTCAATCGCTCCTACCAGAGCTTCTTAAACTATTTCCAACTTCAATCGCCCTCTTCTGAAGATAAAAAGGAACTCCCCAAGCACTAAGCACCACACCCAAACAATCTTCTTACCCTATAACTACAAACTCTCTACTTGGCTAGGGTTTTGGGAAAAAAAATCAACAACCTCACTTTCTTGGCAATCTATATCCAAATTCTCTCTCTCCAAACCCTCTACCAACTAGGCACTAAAGTTCTCTGAACAGTTAGCAACTCATATCTCCGTACACTCTTCTAATCGAAGGGTGTATGGAAAAAAAAGGAAAAGAAAAGAGAAAACAGAAGAAAACAGAAGAGAGAAGAAGAAGAAGAAGATGGAGAAGAAAGGGAGGAGGAGTTAGTTCAATCCCTCTCTCTTAGCTCTCTAATCTTTTATTAACCATGTTTAATCAAGACTCATTATAGATCTGCCCTTAAGTGGGCGGCCAACTCATCACTTTGTTAAAAGAAATAAAAAAAAAGGATTAACAAGTTCACCAGAATTAGGCCCAATAACAGCTAAACAATATAAGAGAACCATACTATATAAAAATAAATCACTAGGGCCCATTCGGCCTAGTCTCTCTACACCATTAAAAAATGTAAAGCACACATCTAACCGAAAGAGACCCCAATTGTTAGGTTTGTTAGATGATTGAGCTAGATTTCTTACCCTCTTATTAATCTCTCTGTTTCCTTTGTCTACTTTCCAAAAAAACTAAAATAAACTATTTTCACCTTGTAGGAAATTAGAAGGATGAAAATATTTTCCTCTTTAACAATAGTCACCGGAACAAGAGATAGAGGACACCTATGGTCACTTTCATAAGTCACTACAACCTTGGATTGTTTTTGGTTATTGCTGCAAATCTTGGGTTGTCAATGCAAAGACAAATAATGAAATGGAAACTTGAGGCTTCATATAAGAATTAGGCCCCATTGCTAGTCCAAGCTCTGGTTGCCACTAGAATAATGTTTAGACTCCATAGAGAAACAAGAGAGTGGAGATAGGGTCACTAGTGCAATGGTCTCCTCTCCTTGATTCCTTTTGTCCTTCATCACCAAGCCTTGGGTCATCATTAAGTGGTTGAAAGTCTGAGATAGTGACACTGAGACTCATCTGTGAGGGTAAGCCCTAAAATAAAAAACTATCAAGGCATTCAAATATTGAATGGGAGATTTGGGGGTTTTATTTTTATTTTATATTATTTTAAATTAATTTTAAAAAGTGACATATGAATTGCTGCTCGCATTGAACAATTCAATGGTTGAACCTTTCGGGTCAGGGGTTGACCCATTTAGGTCGGTGATTTTTTGACATTTTCAACATTTTTTTAGCAAAAAAGTGCTCCTAGACATAATTGGACCCAAAACCTCGACATGGGCCGTGCTGGGCTGCCCCCCAAAATATCTTAGGGGAGGGAGGCACGACACGAGATAGCCCGCATGCTGGCCCGACCCTGCCTGCACTTGGCATGGGCTGCACACGGGTTGTGTCGTACCGACCCAGCACTACCTGTTTTACACCTCTAACGGTGTTTGATTCTGTTTATCATTTACTTGAAAAATGATGCTAGTTCAGTGCTACATAGGCAATTTTTCAATTTTCAACTTATGTGATGCTTAGTGATGCCTAATTGTCAAAAAACATCAAAAAACGTTTTTCAACCAATTTTTCTTGTTTTTCAAGTTGAATACCATGTAAAATGTTTATTAAATAAATGACAATGCAACCAAAAACAACTCCTAAATGTTGCTACAAATTAATTACGAAAATCTAATAACATCATGTGACACATGTAATTAATTTATGGACAAATTTTTTAAACTGCCCCTACTATTTAGTTAATTGACAAATTATACCCTTACTACTTAACAGTGTCCCTTTTGCCCTTGGTATCTTTCTCATTTAACCTAATTCGAAAAACCTACTTTTCATTCTCCCCTTTCTTTTGAAGCACAGTGGCAAATCGAAAGAGACAGGTGGCAATGCTAGATCTACGGTCGGCAATGAAATAACCCCCTCCACTTCTGGCCTCTCTCTCTCTCCCTCCCTCACTCCCTCCCTCCCTGTCGTTCTCTTTCACTCCCTTCCCTTGTTTTATCACTGCTACTACAACTCGTTGCAACGGCGGATTTAAACTCTATTGTAGAAAAGGCCAATTGAGATTGATGCATGGGAGAATACCAACTCACTACCTGATTCAATCGAGATGACTTCGTGACATTGAGGATTTCGTTGACCACCTGAAACAACAAGTTAATGTACCTCGTGAACTTCCTCAACTTTTCGATTTGCTCTTCTGGTCCAACTCCTGCAATTGCCCCAATAACACAGATCCTTCCAGCAATACTGCGGTCTTGCGAAGACGGATGAACTCAAGCTGTTCCAAGCCAACATTAGATAGTCCAATAGACCTGAGATCAACAACCTGCCTTGCAACCAGTCCCTCTGGCCCAATCATTCTTACTTGTTCCTTGACCACACGAATGATCTTTGAAGGCAAAACCCCAATGGTTTCCGTGGCGATGTGCTCGAATCAAAGGCCAGAAGAGCATCTAGCATCTCTAACTAGAACTGCCACATCCTTGCCGAAGACCTTATGGTTCGTTGGCTTCCCACATCGGAGATATCGTGAATCAGAAACATGTTGTGAATTATCTCAACGGCGCATGCTAATGGCATGGCCATCGACAAGCTCACATGCGGCAATGCAGAGAACCATATGTACACGCTTGCCGTCACGCAAGAAGGGATTAGCGTATGGCTTCGTGGATCTTGATGGGGTCTTTGAGGAAACAACCTTGTTGAGGGCTTGATTAACGAAATTTGCCTTTGAAGCATGTAAGCCTTGAAATTGAAAGTGGTCTCCTAGGCTTTTTCTTCAGTCTCCTCCTTTGCGGTATGCACGACAGAGATAGAGACATAATATGCATCATCTTCTCCTTGTAGGTAGGAAAGAGGCGGGTATCCTTCTTGTCTTTAGGCTTGTCCAGCCTGCAACAAAAGTAGCAAAAAAACTGAGAGTCGGCTAAAAACCTAGCTTTTAGGGTTTCCCTCTATAAATGGACGGTGCCTTAGCTGGCTCGGTCCTAGCTAAAAACCTAGTTTCTTGTAACAAGACTACCAGAGACAAAACTTTTTGTCTCCTCAAAACATGGTTGCCGTCACAGGGACTAAGGGTAATATCGAGATTTAAAATTTTTTATACATTAGTTTAAGACAATAGTAAATGATAAGTCTATAGTTTGTAAATTAACTAAAGAGTAGAAGTTAAATAGTTTAAAAAATTTGCCCTTAATTTATTAATCAATTATGAGGTATGCGATGTCAGCATCCTTGGTGTCCCATATCTGGAGTAGGAAGTATACCATTACATGATAGTATATAAAAAGGCTCTCTCTCATTCTTAAGTCAATTCATGGCTAAACTTGGCTGGAAGTATGCTCTGTGCTTGTCTTCTTCAATCTTTTTTAATATTTTGTTCCTCAGTTTCCTTCTTCGTCCTCAAGAGCCAAGGCTTACTTGGAGCAGAGAAGCGGCCAGGGAAGCCGAAGCCATCGCTTCTCTTTCTTGTTCTGGCCATGGCAGGGCCTACTTAGACGGCTTGGTTTCTCAAGGAAAACCTGTTTGCTTGTGCCACACCTGTTATGAAGGCCCTGATTGTTCAGATTTCTCTCCCGGCTGTCCTGCAGACGTTGATAGGTAAAATCCCTTCCCCCCCCTCTCTCTCTCTCTCTGATCTAATGAGAATCATGTTCATATCTTAAGAACAGAAGTATACTTAGTTCCCAACCGAGGAAAACTTTCTTCTTGGAACCTGTAACTCGACCCACTAATTCTTGCTCTATCTCGATCGGCCGGTGACGTATGATACCGGAGGACCAACCGAGCCCTCCCCTCATGAATTTTGGTTACCACTCCCATGATAACGTACGGTTGAATGGTTGCAAGTTTTTCCGGTACCTTTACCAGAAAGGTAAAAATAGTCTTTCCCAAACTAAATATTGTAAATTACAAACAGTCACCCTGTACCTTTTTAAAAACAGCCACCCTTTACCCGGTGGTGGTGCCCAACCCCACAAATTTTGTTTTGCACAAAGACTACTCTCTTGAGCGTTTGGATGCCAGCACTTGTTCAAAAATATATACTCTGTGGAATAACCGAATAAGGCCGGGTTAAAAGGACTCCGAATGAATAGACACAGACAGATTTCTTATAGGCAGGAGATCCCATTTTGTCTAAAAGAATTCGGATTTGGCACTCACAATTGGTATTTACACCGTTTTTACAGCCCTTTTTATGATTTTTTTTTTTACGGTATGTTAGGAACATTTTCCTATGAATAAAAAGATACAATTATGAAAATGTTCTTGATGCATAATTGGCGATGACTTAAAATGATGTGAGGACAATTTTGTGAGGATTGAATAAAGCGAGGCCATATCATTGCATCAAAGACCATAACTTAATAGTTTTAGCCCATTATTACTCCAAGTGGAATAGATGATTTCTCTTCCCAGCACCTTGACCCTACTGTCAGCATTTTCTCAGTACCTTCATAGAGTGTTGCTTTAAGCATTTCTAAATTTCCAATCTACCCCGAATTTTGAGACCATTTGCCTTTTCAATTCAGTTTTTATAAAATTTTAATTCTCACGTATTTCTTTCAACTTTATTTCAACAAATTCTTTGTCTCACAATATTTCTAAAATTTTAATTCTTCCAACCTTTTAAAAGCTTCAAAAGTATCTCTGTCAAAAAGAAAAAAAAGCCAGGGGTGACTATTACAACACCTAAGTGCATCGTGCAGGGTGAATATCTGTAATTTTATCCTTTCATTTTTTTAGGGATCCTGTAATTTGGGTCTAGTGTCACTTTGGTCCCTGAATTTTAAAGTGCGACAATTTAAATTTTGATAAGAGAGAACTGCCCTCACAGTTTTCAGGGATTTTTGGACTGTAATTCCCTTCAGAAATTGAATTTGCAGCCCTTTCCTAGTCTACTAGTAGCTCCTTATAAACCACATCCTGCCCGTGAATTTAACATCAATCTATGGTCAGGATTCAGTCCACTCATAGTCTAGTAGTAGTTCCACCTATGGGTGGACTGAACGGTAAAAAACCCCAGTTTTTATTGCATTTCCTTTATTACAATCTAAAATTTCGTTTTACCATATAACGTAAATCATATAATTTCTATATTGGAATATTTGATTTTATTTTAAAAGTCAATACTATATTGAAATAAAACCAACTTTTGGGTTTACCTTTGAAAACAAAATTAAGAATTTAAGAACATATTCTTTTTTTAAGATTCCAAAATAAATAAACAAAAAAAAAAACATTGAGTGTCGTATACCTGCACTAGCCCGTAGCACTAAAATGCCAGAGCCACGTACGCATGCATTTGGAGAACTATGCAACCATTGACAAAAAGCATGGCAAAGTATGTATTGGTCTCTATTAATTGTTTATTCTTATCTCTTTTTCTTTTCTGATAAAGAAGGCATGGTGATGTCTACTGCTCACCGAACTGACTGATTTTTTGTGTGGGATGTCATTGTTGGGTCCATATTTGATTTTTTTTTTTTTTTAAAAAAAAAGAGTTAGTACCCATCTTAATCAGTCATCATCTTTAGATATATTATATGACATTTAAAAAGATAAAAATATCCTTCAAGTATCATCTAATTTTCTTTTTTATTAATCATTCATACGTTGATAAAAAATGAACAGTTCTAAATCCTTACCTTTTCTGTTTAAGAAAGTTGGGGTCACCAACATATCAATTGACCCCAACTTTCTTGAATAAAAGAGAAAAAGATTTGAGACTGTTCATTTCTTGTTAATGTTTGAATGGTTAATATTTCGGCCACTGTACCGCCCTAATATGTATGATAGCCCTCAGATCTACTGTTTCTCTCTGAGTTTTTGAGAATATCCTAGAGTTTCTTTCTTCCCACAATGTCCAACATACTGCAGCCCTTAGTCCTCTCCACATTGTCCTTCCCCTTTTTATCCGCCACCTGAAAAAGGAAGGGGAGAAAAAGCCTTGCAAGTCTGATGGGAGATTCTAGATGCATCCAAATAAGGAGAAAACCCAATCCCAAATTGACCTCGTGAAGTGGYAAGACACCAGTAGGTGAAAACCAGTCTCCCCATCTGCTTTACACAGAACACACCACTGAGGTGACAAGCAAGTATTGGGTCTCTTCTTTTGAAGTAGATCACCAGTGTTGATTCTTTCYAGATAGGCTTCCCAACAAAAACTACCAACCTTAGGGGGTATAGCTCTACACCAAACCTCACCAACATGGAAAGGGGGAATGGTAGGACTGGTGGACTGATTTAAGACTTTGCAGAACGAAGCACAAGAGAAAATGCCATTAGGAATAGGTGTCCAAACCTATTGTCCATTCTCACGGGCATATCATCATTTTCTTCTTCATGGCCTTTTTGTTTTTCTGAGAGGGTATCATGTTCATGTTATTTTTTATTTTTTTCTGAAAGGCCGATACCTTCCAAACCTATAGTCCCACTCTGCCGCTCAGGCCAATCGAATCATATTCATTTTTTATATGGCACAGAATCAGATTCTATTGTTCTTGGTAGAACCGTAGAATGTAGAAACTAGAAAAAGAGGAGTCCCGATCAGCTCACTCACACAACACGTCTCAGCCGTACATCGGGAACATCTTCCTCCCGAGTTTATGCGTATTTGACCCCCAGGCCCCAGTCACACGCCTGACGCCTCCGATGCCGAGTGATAATCTCACCTACTGGATGGGATGGGTCATCGGCAGAAAGAAACATATATGATAATAGGTTTCTCGGTTGGTTGCGTCGGCAGTCGGGATCTGCAGGTCTTGCTATTCATTAATCTTCTCTGTGATTCTCTCAATCTCTCTGAAAATCATGGATAAAATCCATGGCTTAAAGTATGTACTGTGCTTGTCTTCTTCCATCCTCTTTGAATTTATTATTCCTTGGTCTCCTTTTCTGTCGTGAGGAGACGGAGCTTACTTGGAGCAGAGAAGCAGCAAGGGAAGCCGAAGCCATCGCTTCTGTTTCTTGCTCTGGTCACGGGAAGGTCTTCTTAGAGAGTTTCATCTCTCAAGGAAAGACTGTCTGTCAGTGCAATCAGTGCTACAAAGGGCCGGATTGCTCACAAGTCACAAGTCTTACCTGGTTGTCCTGCACATGCTGATGGGTAACACCTTCCCTCTCTTTCTCTCTCTCTCGGTATAGTCTGGGATTTCATAGCGTGCAACTGTGCAAGGTTCTAGGTGCTCCATTACAGGAGTTGGGATGTCATCATGCCAGTGGGTCGGATTAGGTGGTAATTGGCTTGGGGTTGGGGTCGGGTCAGTCTTAATCGGGGCTTTGGAACAGATTCGGTTTGGGGTGAACCCATACTGACCCGATCTGTTGACGCTGCAGCCTTGAATACATTAGCACATATAATATCAATTGGGGATGTAGGCATGCTTTACATGAGGCGGGGCGGGAATTGGGATCTGCTCCTCACTGAGCGCGCCTCACACACACCCACCTTGAATCGTGACAGGATATGCTCCTCACAAATAGGCGCCTCACAGGTACATCCACTATGCATTTGGAACATCTCCCATGAATAATAACCAATAAGTATGGTAGATGTTCCCAATGCATGATAGAATGTGCGTGTGAGAGGCGCTAGGTGTGAGGAGCAGACCCGGTCTCCCCTAAATCGGGAGATGTTCCCGATGTGCTGTAAGGTCGGTGTGAGTAAGGGTGTCAATGAACCAGTTTTGGATTGGACCTCATGCAGTCCAAAATCAATTTGAACGGACCAACAAGACATTGGATTGGATCAATCCGATCCAAAATATTTATTAGATTGAATTGGACCTGATCTGTCCATAATAAATTTATATTGGATTGGGTTGGATTAAGCCTACGGCTGTTCACGGGTCGGGTTGGATCGGTTTACTGGCGTTTTTTCAACCGACCCGATATGGTCGGTTTACCTAGAAATAAAATCGAAATCGATCCAGTACTAAGTAAAACCGACCTGGTCGGTTTGAATCGATTTGGGTCGGTTTGTGAATGATTCTTTCGGTGTGAACGGTAAAGGATTCAAGTCTAAGAAAGCAAAGGCTGGATGCCTGGAAATTAAAAATTATTTGATGGATTAAAATTGATATTTTATATATTAGAAATTTTATATATAATATGTATATTTCTGAAATATATATATATAGTAAAACTGAAATATATCATATATATATAATATCTATATATATATATCTAAGTCGTGAAAACCGAAACCGAATCGAACCATCGGTTTATGTTTTTTTGTAACCCGAAACCGATCGATGCTGAAGAAAAATTGGCCAACTCAGGTTGGTCGGTTTGGGTCTTGTTATGAACAGCCCTAATTAAGCCAATATCTGATCCATTGATATAAGATAAGAATATAAGTGCCAATAGATCGAAATTGGGTTCAAACCAATCTAAATCAAAACGAATTTGAACAGATTGGACGGTCCAGACATTGAATTGGACCGGTCCAAAATGATCCAAAATATTTATTGGATTGGATTAAACTTGGTCCATTTGTAATGGACTCACATTGGACTGGATCGGATTGGACCAAATCTAGTCCAATTGACACCCCTAGGTGTGAGGTGTGCTTTGTGAAGGAGCAGATCCGGACTCTGGTTTGGTACCCCTTCTTCTTTTAGTCGGATGGGGTCAGGTTCATATTGGTTTGGATTTAGCCAAACCCATACCAAGTCTTAACCTGTTGACATCCCCAAGCTATGTTTGGTTTGAATGAAAAGGTAAGGGAAGGAAGGGAAAGACAGGAAAACCAATAGAAGATTTGTAAAAATTTCCCTTCCTTTTCCTACATTTTAGTTCAAACCAAGCATAAACGACAGTGCTATTCTAAGTTCTAACAATCGAGTCAATGACTCGTGCATCAAATGGATGGGCTCCAAATCAAACGTATGTCTATGCTGAAGTGAGCAAAGAATCAGATATAAGTACTTAATAAATATTTTTTGTTTAAATTATTTAAAGGGTGGGCTGAGGCCTAAGGGTATTTTATGGGCAACAGGACAAGTGCCACAAAATTTATTCTGCTTATTCAATGTGCTATCTTGTGCGTCTACATGATCCAAATTCTAAGATATTAACTATTAAAATAATATTATTAAGGGTAAGTTGCTGAAATCTTTGTTGAAGTTTTTCAGCTTCGCTGAAATTTCTTTTGAAGTTTTTGATTATTGCTGAAATTTCCTATAAAACTTGGTAATCGCACACAGTTGCAAATCTTCTGTTAGAATCCTCTAACAAGAGGCACAAAAATGTCTAAAATACTCATGCAATTACTATTGGTGTTATCTTTTACAAAAAAAAAAAACTTTATAAACAACAAAAAAAATTGAGAATTTAAAATTAAAGCTTTACCTTTGAATAATTGATATCAAGGGAAAATTTGGAAAATAAATCAAACTCAGAAAAAAGATTGAAAGGGTTTGGATTGACAAGTGGTGATTCATATATAAAAAAATTTGGAAAATAAACATCTTGGTCAAAAGCAACCGCATAGATATCTTTGACGTTTTTGTGTCTCTTATTAAAGGATTCTAAGAAAAGGGATCTAATTGCAACTAAGGATTTAGCAGAAATGATTAAAGAGTTATTTGTAATAGCTAGGTAAGATTTAACAATTTGAAAGGAGTGTAAAAACTAAATACAAATATGTACAATCCAAATACATACAGGTTTAACAATACAAAATGCAAGCTGAGCCTTTGACTCAAAGAGTCTGAAATCGATCTTATTATCTCAAATTCGGATGCTCTATTTACATGATCCAATCATATTTGGATTTTATATTTCTCAGTTGATTAACAATTGTGTCGGATCGCGGATGTAAATTTAATTGCATTCGATCTGATTACAATCTAAATCCGGTTATATAATAATATATATTAATTTTAATATAAACACAAATTATATATATATATGCATATATACAATAAATTTAATATTTCATATTATTAATTTATTATATATAAGTTAAAAATAATTGATTTTTAATTTTTTGTTATTTTAAAAAACGAAGCAAAGTTGGATTAAATCCGAATTTGATTGCATCCAATCAAATCCAAATCCAATGTATTTACAACCCATCTTTTAGCCATAAAAAAGTTTAAAGCCTTATGGATAAATATTTTGACATTATATATGATATGTAAATTATATCATATTTTAACATGTAAATTTAATAAAATGTAATTCTCTCATTTTATTATCTATTAGAGCTACTTCTGGCTTTCTTTATATGACTTCAGCTATTACCCTATCCTTTCTTGTTATACCATTCATTCATCTAATCATACATGTATCTGCTTTGCCACATTCTTTTACAAATATGCTATTCCATACAATATGAAGCCTTAAAGTGATTTTATAAAAAAAATTCCTTTATTCACAAATAACATAAGACTCTGGAGACACCCCTCCATTTTGCCCATTTTATTAACTTGTTTTGCCTTTTTTTTTTCCTGCAAAGGATGGATAAAGTGATGGATACAACTACTTGGAAAATCTATGCCATAATGTTTGAACTTTATGCTGTGTTTGGTTGCAATGCAATGTTATTTGTATTAATACAAATGTATAGGAGTGCAAATCAAAAGTGTAAATTTCAGTTTAGTTTTGTTTTAAATTTTGCTTTATTCTGTTCTGGGTCTTAATTTACTTCATTTATACTGTAATCAAAATCAAAGTAAGATAAAATTTGGAACAAAAATAAATCAAAATTTGCATATAAATCATTTGCACTACTATAATTTTGTATTAGTGAAAATGAATTTACACTGCAATCAAACACAGCATTAGGAGAGAACATCTCCATGTGCTTAGCAGAACTTTCTTACGACCCACGACCAGTAGTATTGTTTTGTCTGAGATTGAAAAATTTTCATTTGAAAGCTGGCGTAGTGTATGTGCCACAATGAATTTCGTTTTTTTCTTTTGTTGTGTAATGTGTGTAGTGGGGATCCACTGTTCTTGGAGCCATATTGGATGCGACATGCAGCAAGTAGTGCAATTCTGGTGGCAGGGTATCATCGAATGAGTTATCGCTACAATGATTCTACCATCTCAACAGAGCTCCAGAAGCAAATTCTTCAGCTGCATGCAGTGGTTGGGAATGCAAACACGACCGGAAGATTCATGGTTTTCGGCACAGGCTCCACACAACTCCTCTACGCAGCAGTTAATGCCCTCTCCAGGGATGCTTCACCCTCGCCTGCTAGCGTCGTCACAGCTTTTCCTTTTTACTCGGTTTGTCCTACACCCAGCCTCAACTTTCAATCTATGTTTTCATTGTCAAATAAATCAATGTTTTAAAAACCGACCTGAAACTGGAATTGTTTTGGCTATCGGTTTTTAGTTAGCGGTTCGACTGTTGGGTTTGTATGAATGGTCTGTTATAATTTAAAAAAAAAAAAATTGAAATGGAAAAACGATAAAAAATTATTTATTAGGTCAAACAGGTAAACGGTTCAACTGTCCGGATTAATAGGTCACTGACTAAATTAACATTTTATATTAAAGACCAGGTTTAGGATGAAACGGAATCAGTTGCTTGAACAATTTTTGGGACAAAATAATCCGAACATTCGGGTTAATAACGGTTTCAAAAACATTAAAATAAACCTAGGCATGAGGCATGGGGTTGAATAGAAGTTTATTTATTTATTTATTTTTGTATTATAATTACTAATTTAGGTTTGGATTGACAATGTAGGGCAATGCAGGACAATGTAGCTGCAGTGTATTGTGGCTACAGAGTTGTGTGCAGGAAATCAGAATCTGGGTGCAGGCCAAAATCCCCTAACCTGACTTAACCTATCTACTTTATATCTGAGCTGCCTTATTAGAAAGAGTGAAATTGGGTTTATTGGTAGGGTCCTTGGTTTGTTGTAGTGGAGATTTGATATCAAATCCCACTTTTCAATGTGCGGATGGTTATGTATATGGGATGAGCTTTCTCCTGTATACTATAGTTGTGTAGCCCATTAAAAAAAATAGGAGAGAGAATTAGTTTTAAAGATGATTTTATTAGAGAAAATAATATTAGAGAAATAGGAGGAGGAGAGCATTGAGGTGAGGAGACTCTAGGCCTCTCTCTTTTCTCTGTATTGACCACTGTTTTTAAAACTGGACTGGACCGGATGGTTGGATCAGAAAAACCGGGAACCGGTCACTTGATCGGTTCCGTTTTCTTCCAAAACCATTTTTTCCCCCAAAATTGTTGATTTTGGTCAGCAAACCGCTGAATCAGCCGGTTAACCGTTCGAACGGTTTTGATTGTTTTCCAATTTTTTAAATTTTTTATTTTTTTGTCAAAACGGGCCGACCGTTTGGGTCAAACGGTCAGACCGTTTGAACCGGTAACCGGACCCCTGACTGGTTCGTTTTTAAAAACCATGGTATTGACATAAACTAGCGGTGACCTGTATCGCACGAGATGTTGTTTAAAAATAAAAAAATATACTTTTTAAGGGAGATAAATGAAATAATAGTGATTCATGAAAGTATTTTATATATTTCTATTTTTCAGATTAGAACAATTCATGAATCAAATCTACGTTAAATTAAATTAATAAAAACAAAGGAAAAAACCTGAACCTAATGAGCAAAACAGAAGAAAAACCTGATAACCCAAGGAAATGAGCAATGATTTGTTTAGATTGGTTCTAAGGATGTCAATGGGTCGGGTTAAATGGTGAACCTGGCTTGATCCAACCCAATAGGGTTGGGTTAGGGTCAATATATTTGGCTTTAGGGTCGGGTTAGAGTTTTGATTATTCAACTCGAGTCGGGTTCAGGTTTTGGCTAACCCGCCCCACCGAGTTATGATACTCTGCATATATACAAAGTATTCTTGTAACTTTTTGATTTCTAACTCTATAGCTTTAAAGTATAAGATTTATTTACATGTTGGTTTTGATTTTTTTCTCTTTTTTTTTTTTTTAAATGGGAAAAGTGACATCTTAGATTTTATAAAACAATTTCTTCACTTAAATTAATGGATTTTAGGTCTTCAAAAACGTGTTAAAAAATACAATTGAAATGCTACGGGTTAGGTTGGGTTGGTATCAGGTTAGACCCTATAAGGTCGGGTCCGATTCAGAAATTATGTATTATAAGGCGGGTCGGGGTCAAGTTGAGGCACTATAGGGTCAGGTTAGGGTTGAGGCAAACCCATGCCAAATCCGACCCATTGACTTCCCTAATTGGTTCACCCCATGTATTAGTGGGCAAATTTGGGGTGGGTTTTTGACATTAATTTGGGTCCAAGCTAAGGTTCATATTTAGGTTGACCCATCACCTAACCCGACCCATCTAATTTATACTATACTTTATTAGAGATAGTCAAAAGGTACTAAGAGATATTTAAGAGGAAAACAAAGATTTAATGGGGAGGGAAGATGTTACAAACATTGACTATTAAGGTTATGGGAGAGAGAGAGAGATTTAAGAATTGTCTTATTTGTAAACTAGCGAAAAGCTCATGCGATGCACGAAAGGGAGAAAAAATGAAAGAGTTAACAAATGAAATCAAATCAAACTTATTATATTTACATTAATAAATGAAATATTTAAATAAATGTTTTTTTAGAGTTCGGTCCCCTTGAAAATTATTTTATTGGTTTTTCAAATGTATTTATGCCCACCCCCTATAAAAACCATCCCCATAAAATAAATTAAATTAGGGATATCAAATAAATTATCATTAAATGAACAATATTATCACAAAAACTAAAAACACCACACCGGTGCATGGATCAGTGTAGACCTCCTTGTAGAAAATTGGATTAGACCACAATGAAGAAATTAGTGCATTGGCTGCCTCTTGAAAGATCAATAGAACCTCCAATTACAAACAGGGTGATAAAGGAAAATAGATCCCTACAAAAAAAAAACATTAATAGGTAGAAAGAGAAAGCTATGTTAAGAGACAAGTTTCTATTATATTAAAATAGGTTCCTTTGGAAATGAATAACTTGTCCTAATTTTTAACAATAAGGAAAGAATTAAGGGAAAAACTAAAAGGAAAAGGGGGAAAGTAACCAGTTTTATAAGATCACTTTGAAACAATAAAGGGTAGCCAATGACTCCATGAAGAAAAAAAAGATACAAAACTTATTGTGATGGTTGATATATGGTAATCTCTAGCAATTACCTAGCAAGTTCCATGTAGCAATAATTACTTTGAGCTAATAAGAGAGTAGTCACCATTTCCATTGAAATAGAAAAAAATAAATAAATAAAGCATTGATACTAATAGACGGAATAGTAGATAAAAAATTATAATATTCAAAAGGTTAAAAAAGAAGAGAGAGGTATGGATGCAAATGGGTTGAATCGGATTCGAATCAGGGTATATTTGAATCCAATCCGATATTATTAATTGCAGATCCGGTCCAACCTCATAAACATGGATTTGAATTTAAATCCGATGAAGCAATTGGATCTTCGGATTTGATTCAATCTGATTTGTTTTTTTAAATAAATAAATTATTAAAAGAAAAATAAATATAACAATTGAAATAAATAAAAACAAAAAATACAAATATCTTTCCAACTATTTTGATCATATATATACGTGTTTTTAATAAAAAATAAATAATATAACAAATTTACAAAAATGCAATATAAATAATATATTTATAAATAAACAAATAACATATATATATATATATATGTGTATGTATTATATTTATATAAATAAATAAATAACACACACACACATATATATATCAGATTAAATCTTCTAGGATCAGATAGGGGGTGATTCAAATTCAATATGTTTTTTTATCAGATCCTATTATCCGATCCGATCTATATATCTAATTCCCACCAAATCTGCAAATATAGGGTTGGACTTCGGAGCGGATACGATCCATTGCACCCTAGAGAGATGGAGAGAGAGAATGGGGCTCTTGAAAAGACAAAGGAAGTGAGTGAGACCTAAAAGACTATAAAGACTTCCAAATTTAGGTGGTGGGAATTAGTTTTTTTTGTCAAATTTAAATTTGAATTTAGGTGATTAAATAAGATGGATTAAAGTGAAACTAATGGTAATTAATTAAGTGGTTAATTAGGAAGGATTAATTAGGTGAATATGGTGTAACGTATAGAGAATAATTTAGGTTATTCTTTGTCAAATTTAAATTTGAATTTAGATGATTAAATAAGAATTAATTATGATTTTTAATATTCTTTGTCAAATTTAATTAGGTGCATTGTATAAGAATTGAGAGGAGGCCTGTGGTGAGAGGTCTCTTACCTGAACTGATGTAGAACACTGATTTGCTATCTATTTGAATAAAAATCACAGGTGTATGAAACACAGACTAATCTTTTCAACTCTTTGAACTCCAAATGGCAAGGAGATAGCGCCCAGTGGAAGAACGTTTCAAATCCCTCCACAAATGTAATAGAATTTGTAACTTCACCAAACAACCCAGATTGCAAGCTAAGGGAGCCAGTTCTTTCAGGCCCAAATGTCAAGACAGTTCACGATCACGCCTATTACTGGCCTCATTATACAGCAATACCAGCCCCTGCAAATGAAGACCTGATGATCTTCACGATCTCTAAGATTACTGGTCATGCTGGCAGCAGATTTGGGTACTACAAATCTATCATCACCCTGCCCATATATTGCATGCGGTGGTTGTAGCTTCTTACTGTAACAATCAGTGCTACTCTTAGAAAATCACATGGCTTGATCTTTTGCAGGTGGGCTCTGATAAAGGATGAACGTGTGTACGAGAGAATGATAACTTATGTAACCCTTAATTCAATAGGTGTTTCTCATGATACTCAGCTCAGGGCTTTGAAGCTTCTCAAGGCCATTCAAAAAGATGGAGGAAAAGAACTATTTGAATTCGGATACAAAACAATTAGGGAACGCTGGGAGAAATTAAGCAAGAGGGTTTCAGCATCAAAACGTTTCTCTGTCCCGAAACTCGCACCTCGATACTGTACTTATTTTCAGAAAATCACCGGGCCTTCTCCAGGTGAGTTTCATTCAGCGTTTAGCTACTGTTGACATTTTGTATAGACTCGTTTCTGGTGCGTCTGTGGATTAAAAAAGTAAAAGAAAAAAACATTATAAGTTGTATGTGTTCATGGCAGCTTATGCATGGTTGAAGTGTGAAAATGAAGAAGACAAAGACTGCTATGCAGTCCTCAAAGCTGCTGGTATTATTGGCCGCGCAGGGGCTGTGTTTGGTGCAGATAGCCGCTATGTACGCCTCAGCTTGCTCAAGAGCCAAGATGATTTCGACTTATTAATGCAGCGAATAGAGAGCTTAGTTTCCGAGGAGGATGGTCCAAGAAGCATTTAATTGAAGAATGACTGTGATCTATAATCAATGGTCTGTTTATTATAAGCTGATCACACCATCTTGCTTAACATCAAATATGCATCTGTAATACATGTTTGATTATGAATTGGGTATTGAAAGAATATAGTGTTGATTATGTACAAATGCAAGGTCTGTTGATTATGCATCTGTAATACACGTTTGATCTGTAATCAATGATCCGTTGATTATATACAAATGCATGTGCAATGTCAATGATATATTTTATCTCCATGTCCTACTCCATGAATGTTTCCCTTGTTTCAATGGTCCATAACATAAAGTTCAGATTTTTGTGTCTAGAGTAATAACTAGTTTGTGGGTATTAAAAGAATTTAGTGTTGGTCACACAACACATCATTTATAAAGCTTGTTTATACACTTCCCTCCTATGCCAGTCTGTGTGGAAAGGCATTTTGCAAAACTATAATGCTTTTCAGCAAGGCATCAACTTCAAGGGAGTTAAGGAGGTGATGGGGCAGCTTGTGTTTCTGGAAATATGTTTGGTTGCCAATTCTTATGAGTAGCAGAATGAGGTAGAGGTTTGGTCCCCTAGCCTAAGGAGAAATCCACAAGATTGGGAGATTACTGATTCTGTTTTAGAGTTGTTGCATCTGCTTAGCAATCAAAGCATCAGAAGGGGGAGGGACGATGTCCAAGAACCTTTTCTTAACTGTTCAGGCCTTCGGAATTAATTGATCGATCAATTCGTTTATTTCGGTTTTAAGGTATTTTGATTATTGGTTTTGGTTTTCAAATTTGATAACTTGGTTAACCAAAAAAAAAAAAAAAAAGAAACGAATTAACCTTGTATATATATATTTGGTATTGCCTTCGTTAGATTTCAGTTTATTTGGTTCAGTTTTTTAACCTAATAAACCAAATGCTAACTCGATCTGGATAAGTACAATTCCCTCAAAGATTTACATATTTCTTTGGACTGTAGCTATTGGAAAGGGTTTAACTTTAACCAAAGGCAGTTTGAGTAGAAGAGGGATGTAAGTTCAAGACCAAGCCTGCCCTTTCTGTAATCGGTGGTGAATGTTTAGATTATCTGTTCATTCACTGCTCAAAGGTGTATGAGATCTGGCTTCACTTGATTAAATCTGCAAATCTGACCTGTGTATGTCCAAACAACATGAGAGAGCTGAGCTGTTCAATTGCAGACTGAGGAATTTGATTAATGCTGCCGTGGGGAGATTTAAGTTCTTAGGTGGCGGCGACCACGGGTCATTCCCAGCAGCCTAGTTGTAATGTTTTACTATCTATTTCCTTGTGGTGTCTGACGCTTTGTGATCTTCTGGGTGTGTTAAGATTTTTGAGATCTCTTTGTATTTGGCTTTCTGGCTCTAATAAAATTACCTTACCTTTTTCCAGAAAAAAAAAACCTTGTTTATAGCTTCCTGGTAGCTACCTAATTAACATTTTGATAATAATAAAGGCAGAGCAATAGTCTAATTGCTCGTAGTTATAAGGTTTGGTACTATGGATTATTTGGAACTTGACATTTCAAGATACTAAGACTGTTTGGTTTGAAGGAAAAAGTAGGGAAAGGTAGGGAAACCTTTACAAACCTTGTATAGGTTTCCCTACCTTTTCCTTCAAACCAAACATAGCCTAAATGAAAAAGGAAAACCAATCAATCAGATTGGGGAGGAAAGAAGAAGAAATTTCTTTTGGGGAAAAGGGCGCCTTGATCACTGCAAGTTTTATGCCTGCCTCAACAATGATGAAAACAGAATAATTGGTTAGAAGTCAGAGAATGAGAGCTAAAGATGCTTGTAACACTGCTTATGTTAGAGATAGAGTTTGTACAATCCTGAGGAAAGTTGTTAGAGATATACAATATTTAATCTTCTAGAGTGATAAAAAAGACTCAAGACTGCGAGTTCCCTTCTCTGCCCTGACAATTATCTATGTTTTGGTAGGTTATATGACATTTTCCTTTTTAACAGAAAACAGAGGAATGCCAGGATAAAAGCCACAACTAAAGAAATCTCCAAGTAAGTCACTCCAAAATACTTCACCAGCTCAAAGTTGGTTTTATCGTCACAGCTGCAGTCACAAGCGCTTCCTACTTGCTTCCTCAGCTGTGGATTTTCTACAGGATCTAGAATGAAATCCACACTCATAGCTTCTTCTTCCAGCAGGATACGTGTAGTCTTTGATTTGTAACCAGGCATGGAAACCATAACTATAAGTCACAATTGTTAGATCCATGTCAGAATATCAACTATCAAGCCATCCTCAAACATATATCAACCAAACAAATTGTACAGCCACATCAAATCGCCTCCCATCCCCACCCAACAAAAAAATGTCTATTCACATAAGTAGGCATGTATAAAAGATGAAGCACCGAGCATAATGGCAAGAGTTAAAGATGCCATGGACATGGTTCATTACATGGCCATAAAAGTTGTCAACAACACTGAAGTTCCCTGGTAACTGACCAAAGTGAGAGTCTGGGTATCACACAATGCATTGGTTTAGATTCCAGAATCATGGAGAGATCAAACATTTCCACAGGGTTTATAGGAGAAAAATTTTCCATGATCGATTGAATAAGAACTTTATCCTAGGGTCTCCCATGTATCATTGACCTTGCAGAAGCTTTTATGCCCAAAAAATCAGCTCTTAGTTGAATGCACAGTCTCATGTTTGATCTTTAAATGGCAATCGTTACTGCAACTAGTTGAAAGAGATCAAGGAAAAATAGACATGTAGGAAATCTTCTGACACTAGCAGATGAATTAACTAGAAAGGGGCACAAAGGTTCGAGCTATTTGAGTCATACAGCCCTGGGGTGGGCTGGTAGCCCTTGATCTGCTGTACCTTGTCACATAATATGACTTAATAAAACTATTTCTGATCTGTTAATGATCTTGATCCTGTATTTCTACATTCTGCCTCACTACTAATGTAAGGATATAAATCCTCCCTTTTTTCTTGATATTTTCACAGATTCAAAAAAGGATACTATTCATCAAAACTTGTCAATGGAGCCTAACAGTCAGGTAAAACAGAACCTCAGATGAATTTAATCACTGAAAAGGGTTAAGATGGGTTATTTTTTATAAAAGCAATATGACCATGATCCGAATGGATTCAGTTATTTTTTTCTTCTATACAAAGTGCAGCCAATTACATTGAATAAGATTTTCTCAAGTTAAACAGGGAATTTATTCTGATGCTGAAAGATGTGCCAGCCATCCTTGTGGTTACTATAATCATTTTAGATTAAAGAATTTTGACAGCCATGTATTCTTTTATTGATATCTTGACTACTATAATCATTTTAGATTAAAGAATTTTGACAGCCATGTATTTTTTTATTGATATCTTGACAGCCACGGATTTGAGAAACAACTTATACACTTCTTTTTTCTTTGCCATATTATGACCACACTCTTGCATCTTGTTCACATCGTGTGGGCACTTTCTTTTTTTCTTTTTTGACAAATTTATTATTATTATTATTTTATTTTTTGCAACTTTTCTTATTCCTATTTACAAGGTAATACTTATCTGCAAGACTGCAGCTAATATTGGAAGAAAAAAAAACTAATACAGTAGTTATTCAATCCTAAAGTCACACTTAAATTTCTGATTAACAGAAGGTAGAAGTTCATTGTCTTCATCGAAGCCTTTATCCTAACTATATGGGGCCAGCTACATGAATCCTATTTCGCCATTCCATTCTATTTAATGCCATTGCCATTGTTAAAACATTCATATTCCAGAGCTGAAATTGAACAAAAAAAAGTAAAAAACTATATCTTGAAAGTATTTTCATTTTCAACAGAAGAGGGAATAAAGTGGCAAAAAATGATAACTTTAAGATTAGAGGATTGGAAGATGAAAATAATAACATATAAATACCTTCATAACTCTCTCCAGGGGCAAGTATTCGATGGTAATCACCAAATAGTCCACCAGCTTCAATCTGTTAATATGCAAATCATCATCCAAGTTTATGTTGAGAAAGAACCAATGACACATCAGAGAAAGGCCTGAATTGGCACAGATGCAAAGTCTGATTTGCAGAGACAGATAGTGCTTAAAATAAATTATATATGAAGTATATGTCATGGGATTAGCTTTAAACAAAGTTCAGATGTAGTGAATAGAATATGGCATCTCATGATATGAGAAAAGATGGGAAATTATAATTCTGTAGAGGGGCCACATTCAAAGAGTAAGGTCAGGCGACAGACTGTCTAATTGGAAATTAGACTGCAATATCATAAAGGTATTGAGGATTTAGGCTGTTATTCTGTTAATATAGGGTTGAACACGTGTCAGGCAAAAATCTGGCCAAATGATCTTATAAAAAGAATTAAAAGAAAAAGAAATCAATATATTTTCAACCACCACCACCTGCAAAGGAACTATATGGTTGAACAAATTGATAATATGATAGCAAGGACCCATACTGTTTGAGTAAATATGAACTTCACAAAATGGTTAGGGAACAAACCGTGGAATTTATTCCTTTGATTGCAATAGAGGCAGGCAAAGGTTGTCCACCTTTTGATGATAAGATCCTTCCATGTACTCCTGTCTATACAGTTTAACATCAAATAGGTGAATGCCTTCATAAAAGAAGCAATATCAGATTAACATTTAATGGCTATTTAACTGTTGGAACATGTAAAGGGGACAAGGGTGCCTTCTACCTGGGAAACAAGAAGATAAAGAAATGCAAAAATGCATTTAACTAATGGAATAATCCTCCAATCTTTTCTAATACTATAGAATTTCTGCCCTAAGTTTCATAACTTTGTAGCTTTCTTGAGAAGTATGGATTTTCCATTATTAGCTTGTCAGAAAGTAAGCTCTGTACAATGGAAATCATTGCTCAAATGTTGTGTGGATCCCATTAATCTTCAGATAAAGCTATTTCAGAACCTTGACCAATTATGTCTAGGTTATTATGAAACATGGAGCAGCAAAATAATACCACATGAAATAAGAGGTAGAAGAGCTTACCTTAACAATGCTTGCAACAAGATTTAACATACTCATTCTGTTATACTCCCAAAGAATAGGAATCTGTGAGTTTGCAGAACATGGGGATGAATATCAAAATATGAAGTGAGTTTGAATAATACCATACATCAATAAAGCAATGACATACACTAGGATGACAGAAGTCATTTGTTAACAAAATAAGTGGAGCAATTGACAAAATAAAGAAGTCATATTAATATATCATTAAAAAAGTAGAGCTAATAACAGAAGTCATTAGGGTATCCACTTTTTAATGGTCATTTTAAAAAGTTCTATTACTGATAGTAAAAAGGAGAAAAAACGCAAATTAAAAAGTGAGGCATTTCAAAGGAAAAGAAGCATACAGAAATCAAATGGAAACAATAAGTTGAGAATTGAGATAGAACACCCCCCCCCCCAAAAAAAAAAAAAGGTAGTATTGTATTGATTTAATATTAATATTAATAACTTGGCTCAAAACATAAAAAAGAAATGTCAAACTTGTTCTTGAGAGAAAGGTAAAGTATTGTATAGATTTAATATTAATAAATCTAATGTGTATGCAAAGAATTGTAGTTCTACATAACATGTTGTTTCTAACTATAACATCTCAAAATACGATATCCTATATCCGCAGAAAGGAACTGAACTAAAAAAATAAAGGAACATTGTGACTAAAAACCTATATTAAGGCCTTGAAAGTTAGATATTTTGATATTTTTTATAAGGATAGAATCTGTATTAATATGAGAAAAATCACCTAAAGATCTACAAAAGAGACATGATATACACTCTATGGCCCATATACAATGATGTAATAATTGTACAGCAAAGCAGAACTAAAAGTGTGCTTCTTTAGGAAAAAAAATGATATAGAAAGATAAACAAGAACCATGTAAAAGTTCTAAGAACTTAACAACTCCAAGAAAAATAGAGCACCCAGATACACAATAATTAAAGGTCTTCATGTTAACAATTAACTAAAGATATTTAACCAGGCAATTCAATATATTCATCTTTTTATACATGTTCAGTGATAGCATTTTGTTTAATTATTACTGGTGGAACAAACAGCTCCATTTTATACCATGTGAAGTGCATCAAACTTAATTGTTTTTACTTCTTTCATTTCATCATCATCATCTTTTGAATAAACTTGTAGAAGTTAAAAGAGAATACTTTTCTCTATCCAAGTTCTCCGTTACATGTTAATGTAATACACATGAAAGAGGTGGTTGTTAGCCTGACTGCTGGCTCTTTTGATTGGCTTAAGTTGCTAAACAGATGCTTGGTTGGACAATTAGTTAACTCTGATCCAGATGTCGAAGATGTGTGGACTTGGGCAGTGGCTGAATGGCAGTGAAGTAGTTCCTTCCAGGTGAGGAGACTCGATGCAGGCTTCTTTCTTTATTCTTTCAGCAGTAAGGATGAAGATCAGGATATCCTCAAACGTGAACAAGATCAAATACGAGTTCCAGAATTAAGGTTGGGGAGGTGGACCCCCCTTGTTGGGGCTTTGAGAAACGTGGGGCTGTCAAGCTTCATCTGGATAAACGTTTTTGGTATTCCTTTACATGCCTGGAGCTTTCATACATTCAGGGATGTTGGGGAAGCATGTGGGAGGTTCAGGTTTGTCAATTCAAGAACCATTGTGTGGAAGAATCTAGTCAGCACGTGTATCTTAATTGAAGTAGAGGAAATTCATCTCATTCCAGCATCCTTGCTGCTTCATTTTGGCGGAGCATCTTTTGTTTTAAGAGTGGTGGTGGATGGGACTTCCTTGGTGGCTGGATCGATAACTTGGTTTTGTGGAAGGAGTAGAGTGGATCTTCTATCATCGACTGGTCTGAGTAGGTGGAAATTGGGGGGTGTTCTGTAACATAGATGAGAAATTGATGAGTGTGGACTGGTCCACACCACACCACTGTGGCAGGGACCAATCCACCCCACACCACAGTCCACAGCTGTTCGTAACTGTGTGGACTGAATCAGTCCATACCTGCAGTTGTGTTCTGTAGGTGTGGTGTGAATCAGTCCACACCACATTTCTTGATTCTATACATCTCACATACAATTTGTAAAATAGCTACACAATTGAATATAAATAAGTAATTATACCCAATAACCCAAATTAATTTAGAAATATCATCGATAAATTCATATTAACCAATAAAAATTTATTTTAACAAAAATAAATGAGAAAATAATTAAAAATAACAAAAATATTTTTTATTAAAAAAATTTAAATAATTCAATAAACAATTATTGAATTATTTAAAACTTCAATAAAGATAGTAGAACTTATGCTAAAAAATTAAAAGATATATCATCAAATTATAGCTTTGGGGGTATAATGGTAAAAAAACAACAAAATACTGAGGCATGTGATGTATAATATCACATGCCCCTTTTTGTCCACCAGCAGATGGAGACCATCCATGAAAAATAAGCATGGACGAGAAATTGATCTGGTACGGTCCCTGTCCATGAGTTATTGGGGACAGAGTCGGCTAAAGAAAAGAATGAGGCTGGCCCGCTTGATTTAGTGGTTAATGACGTCACAGGAGAGACAAAGGCTGAGAGGCATGTAGTAGGCCAAGAGCAAAAGGGGCTGGGGTCTGGCAAGGGAAATGGAAAGCCTTCAATGTTGCGTTTTGAGGTGTCTTGTGCCGGGAATTGGGATGCTTCTAGGGCCCACTTTCCAAAGTCTAAACCAAAATTTGTGAGGAACCCTATTGTTCTGTTCAGTCTGAGGGTAAGCAAAAAGGAGCTTAGTAACTTTTATATGTTCAAAATATTTTAGGCATAGGAGATTGAGTAAAACTTGTTTGGATAAAGATCGAAGGGGAAAAGAAGTATGTTGGGAAGGGGCAATCTTCAGATTTGATAGAGGTAAGAAGGAGAATGTCAATGTGAAGTCTGTTGAGGGGTGTACTTATCGTGATGTTGTCTGAATCCATGGAAATAAAAATGATGCTCCTGTTTGCTGCACTTGAAATAGGAGCAAATCTGTGGAGGATTTTGAAGCCGCAACACTCAAGGAGAATGGTGGTATGTCGTCTACGGACTCTAATTCTATTGTGAAAGAAGTTTTGTTTAATGTTACTAGTGAGATCCTTAAAGCAGATGAGTTTGGGTTAAAGAAGAGGGAGGAGGAGTGGAGGACTCTGGCCTGCCCCAAACCAAGGGCTTTGTGCTGATCACCAGTTATTCGAGGAGGTGGTGGTTAGAAGGATAGGTGTGGATTTGGGTAGGAGGGGGGAGGAAGCTAAGAAAGATTCAGATGTGGCTGAAACGATGACCTCCAAAAAATCGTGGAGTTACTGGAGTAAGATATTCACATACTGTTCACTTTACCAAAGTTTTTTCTCATTTGCACTTGGATTTGTGGGGGCTGGTCCTACAAAGAACTACAAGAGGGTGTGTAAGAGAAGGGGTGGTAAGACTACTATGCTGACAAGCACAGTTGCTGATGACGAGGATTCTCGAGTTGTATCTAATTCGGGTATTCAGTTGGGGACTCTTCAGCATGAAGAAGCAATTGAGAGAGGATTTGTTTCTACTGCAAGAGATCTTGATAAGAGCCTTGAAAAAAAGCTGGAGAGATCTAGAAGTATTTCTATTGAGAAAGCTGCTAAAAATGATGTAGAGGCTGGCAAAAGCCTTGGCTTCGTTCTTCTGGGGTGGTGAGGAATTTGCCAAGAAAGCCTTTGAAGAGTTTGAGAAGAGGAAGAGGGAAGAAAGTTTAAAGAAAGGTGCAATTGGAGGGATGTGGGACAAAGATGATGATCAGCAGGAGGAGATATTTGAAAGGGACGATTAGGGTCCTGTTTCTGCTAAGCTCGTTTGTGTCATAGGTGATCGATTGTGGAGTTGTCTAAGGATCTGGTCCTGGAGGTGTTAGGTCTCTATTATGCCAAAGTTATGTAGTGGCTGACGTTTTGTGAAAGCTGAGTCTTAGTTTGTCTTTTCTTCTCTCAGGGGATATACTATTACATTTATTTTGTATTCTCTTTTTATTTTTAATAGAATTCTTATATACTTTTCAAAAGAATACTTCTAGTATATTTCTATTTAGCTTAAACAATCTCCTAAAGGGAAAACCACAAAAGCAGGTCTTGATCCACAACTATTAGCATTTGGGCAAAGATGATAACCAACATTGAGCAGCATTGAAACGAAGATAACTTGAAAATCGAATCTGACCTCATTTTCCATAGGCCATTTGTTATCACTAATCTCCAAGGTCAATTCAAAACAACCAGCATGTATATAGTTCCAATCTTGCATGCCACCATATATAGGGTACCTGCAATAAGATTTTCTTCACTCAAGTTTGGAGCATTGTAATGTAAGAATTTTTGCTATTAATAATTTAAAATGAAAATTAAAAGAGGGAGAAGAAAGGAAAGGGGGAAGAATTTGTGGCTTTTTAATATTGTCATTTTAAAATAATTAAAAAAAGATGTCCAGGAGAAGAAAAGCTTAAGAAAATCTAGACCTATTGGGACTTGTCTAGTTTATTAACGTAAAAGCAAATGTGGTTATAATTTTTTATCATTTAATAAAAGTTCAACTGTTTCCAATAAAAATAGTCATAGTTTTTCATACCAAAAAGCTCCATTTGTAATTCCTCCAAGAAATTCCTTGCTCAACGACATGTTATAGTGAGAGTGACTGTAGATACTTGCCATGTACTGGAATGTTTTGTCATCAGGACAAGCATAGTACTGTCTCCTGAAATTCATCCATGTCAGGCAAGAATATTTCAGAGAACATAATATAAATTAAAATCAAAAGAATGCCAACATTATGACTTCAGAGACCCCAAATCCAAGGATAATATAATCCAGGCTTATCAAATCAAAGTTATAGGAAACTGCAAGGGTTATCTCATTGTTTGACTCATCAAGGTAAAAAAGTAAATTGTTTTTTATTTTTTTCATTTTCCATTTGTCAATTGAACAGAGATAAATTGTGGCATAAAGTGGTGACAACAATACATGGCTACTCACGAAATGGGTGGGGTGCTGAAGTGTCCGCAAGGGCTACAAGAGCAGCACCTTGGTAGGCAATTCATGTCATTCTCCCCCTATTTCTCCTTCACATTAGATAATAGATATGATGCATCCTCTGAGAATACAAGAGCAGCACCTTGGTAGGCAATTCATGTCATTCTCCCCCTATTTCTCCTTCACATTAGATAATAGATATGATGCATCCTCTGAGAATACAAGAGCAGCACCTTGGTAGGCAATTCATGTCATTCTCCCCCTATTTCTCCTTCACATTAGATAATAGATATGATGCATCCTCTGAGAATAGTGTTAAGCTTTGGGAACATAAGTAGGTGGGGCATTCTCCTTTAAAAGAACAGCTCCCCTCCCTATTTGCACTTTCCAATTTCGAAGGAAAACTGATTTCAAAATTCATTACACCTTCTTCAAGCAATGGCATAAGCTGGGATTTGAGTTTTAGGAGGGGTCTAAGGGATTCTGAACTCCCTATTGCTCTTAGTTTCCTACAAATTCTTGAAGAGTGTTTTTTGGACACCTCTTGGTTTGATTGTATAATTTGGACTCCCACCCCCTCTAGGTCTATCTTGTGCTTCTTTCTTCAATATTCTATCCCAACCCACTCCTCCTCAGCAGCTTTTCCCTGTGAAAGAGGTTTGGTGTGGGCCTATCCCACCTAAAGTCGGAGCTTTTAATTGGGAGGTGTTTCATGAGAAAATTAACGCTTGTTATCTACTCCTAAAAAAAGAAGACCTAACGGCTCGGGGTGGGTTCGAGCCAAGCCGAGTTGAATATCTGGCTATTCGAGCTCAGCTCGGTCATAAATTATTAGGCTCAAGCTCGATCTCGAGCTCAGTTCGAACTAGCGACTTGAGCTCGAGTTCGGATTGAGTCAAAAGCTCGGAAGTTCAAGCTCGGATGCCTCTGATTGCAGGCCTCCCTAGCAGCCGAGGTCTCCCTTAGTTGCCAAGGTGCCAAGCCGAGGTCTCCCTCAACCAATGAGGTGCCGAGCCAAGGTCTCCCTTAGTTTTTAAGGTGTCGAACCGAGGTCTCCCTCAGTAGCCTAGGTGTTGAGCCGAGGTCTCCTTCAGTAGCCGAGTGGCCCGAGCCTAGGTGACACCCTATGTACATATACTCAACTAGGCTCGCGAGCTTCACGAGTGGAGTTGTATTAAGCTCGAGCCTGGCTCGATTAGCAAACGAGCCCATATATTAGGCTCGAGTTCGGCTCGAAGCTCGGTTTAGACCGAGCTTGAACAACTCGTGAACAGCTCGGCTCGTGGCCACCCCTACCTAATAGCTGTTTATCCCCTCATTGGTGTGTCCTCTGCAAAGCAAATAGTGAGACTTGATACCACTTATTAATCTCTGTCCTTTTGTAACTTGTATTTGGGAATGGTTTCTTTCCTTATTTGGGTGCAGGTGGAAATCTCCTAAAGCCTTCAGATTATTCTCTCCTACTTTCTTTAGTTAGACCAAGAAGAGGGAAGAATTTTGTGGAGGAGCACTAGGGTTGCAGGCTGCAACCGTTTGGACAATATGGGAACAAAGAAATAGATGAAAAAAGAAAGGAGCCAGGAGGCATTCATTGAGTGTATATTACAGGCTTTCCAGCTAGGGTGGCTCGTTGGGCTAAAACAATGGAGATCATTTCAATTTTCTCAACAGATGGCAATATAAGAAAGTGAAGTGGTGAGCTCTTCTTCTAAAAAGACTGCAGTTTACAGCAGCTGGATGCTACCAGATAGAGGGTTCTTAAAACTCAACTTTGATGGAAGTAGTAGGGGCAACCCAGGGAATTCAGGAGGGGGGTTCAGAAATGAGGCTGGTAACATTGTTGTTTTATTATCAGGCCTGACTGGAACGGGAGACCCTTTAAGATCTGAAATTATGGCTGTTAGGGAAGGTGTGCAGAGGACAAAAGAAACGAATGTGGAAAAATTGATTATTGAAGGAGATTCAAAACTGGAGGTTGGATGGCTTCAGAAGAAGGAGGCTGCATTGTGGTGCTACAGTAATTAAGTGAAAAGATTCAGGTAACTGTCTAGAAACATGGATGTCAGGGCCTCTTGAATCCCAATTCCCAAGGGATAACAGCATGGCAGATACTATAGCAAAGCAAGGGCTATAGAGGGAATTAATGCTTTGGGCACAGTTGTAAAAAGTAAAAGGACAATTAAAGAGTAGAGATAAGACTCCTTATCTCTACAAAAGAACTTGTTCCTTTATCTTTGCAATTTTTAATAAAATTTTGCTTGTTATTGATAAAAAAAAGATTAAAGATTACAATTACTTAAGGTACATCTATTAGAAAAGAAAATTGAACATCAAATAAGACACTATTTAGTAATAAATCTCCAAAGTTCAGTCTGTTTAATATGTTAGCAGGCAGATCCAGAATGGACAATGCTTACCTTTTGTCATCAGAGCCATCCCAAGGATAATTTGCAACAAGTGCACCCTGCAGAAGCAGAGATCAATAGTAGCCGCTTTATTAAGAAGGGATTATATTACACATTATCACAATATTACTAAACCATTAACTTTTCAAAAATCTTAAAATTATTAACTTTTACAGCAAGTAATGACATTCTGTATAACATAGTTCCATGGGTTCCAGCTCCAGTAAGGCAGTAAGTATAATATGGTTGTTTTGATTCAAATTAGTTCCTTGCAGAAAATAAAAATCAGGTGGAGAGAAAACCAAAATAAAGGAAAAGCAGACTACATTGTCACAGGATTCAATATGAAGATTTAAATGGGTGTCATTGAAATTGCCAACTGGCTCGGCTAACTTAGCTCATTAACACAACAAACTTGAATAGACCTAGGTCAGACTTGGATTGCTTGATTACTATATCTAAAAAAGTTATTAGATATTACATGATAGCAAAAGGGGCCATTGCTTCATTGGTTGTAGAATCTCCGGATGACAAGCATGAAAATGCCGGTTTGAACTTAACAGACGCCACTTCCTGCTAAAATTCAGGAGTTCTGTATCCAGTACACCTACCAAGACCTGAATAATAGGTGGGACTAGAATTGGATAATAGCCTTTTATTCAGAACAACATATTAATATCTGTTGGACAGACTAAAGAGTTTTAATGTGAAGGATTTCAGGGTTTTAGGTCAACATGGGAAGAGATCCTTGTCTCAATCAATCCTGACCTTTTTGAATTAGCATCACTTACCCCTATAAATTTCTGCTGTTCATTGCATCTCATTTTCTTTTATATAATTATATACTTGTCTAGTTACTAATAAACGAGTCCCTTCATATATGGAAAGGTATCTTCCCTCCATGCAATCAGTACTTACGAATCATCCTCAATGAGAAGTTTCTTAGAGCCCAGAGAATAGGCCAGTTGAAGGTCTTGGGGGAGGGAAATGAGCTAAGATCTCACTTAATCACCATAATGTAGAAATCAGAACGACACATTAACACCTTCTGAAAGCTGTTTCTGAAGACTCCCCCAGTCACAGGACCAAGGTACCCGAAACAGATCACAATCAAAGCTTAGCCTAGTTGATGACTTAGAAGTAGTAGACCAACCGGAGGCAAATTCTTGTCTAGTCAGGTGGGATCTAATGATACATTTTTTAATCAGTAAGAGATCAATGAAAATTTATCGATATCAGAAAAATGAGTACAAAAGAGACATTTAAGGGTTGAGGAATTAGTAGGTAACTTCTCTGTGTCTCTGAAATTCAAAATGGTGGAGGGTGATTTACTTGGCTGCTAACCAATGTGTATGGGCCCAATAATTACAGAGAGAGGAATGAAGGGAGGAGTTGTATGGCATTCAAGGGTTATGGGAAGGTCCTTCATGCTTAGGTGGAGATTTTAATGTTATTCGGTTCACAACTGAGTCAAATAACCCTCATCAATCCATCACGACTAGTATGAGGAAATTCAATGATTTTATCAACTCTTGTGAGCTAAAGGAGATTCCTCTTTTGCAAGCCAATTTTACCTAGTCCAACTTTCAGGAAAACCCAACATGTTCGAAGTTAGATAGATTCTTGTTTAATGAAGCCTGGGAGAATCAATGGAGGGGATTGATGGCTAAAGGGTTACCTAGAGTTACTTCGGATTACTGCCCTATTCAGTTAGGAGAGGATCCCTTAGACTCTGGACCTAGACCCTTTAGATTTGAGAATATGTGGTTGTCTCACCCAGACTTTGCTAAGGGGGGTGAAGTGGAAAGGAGTTAGATTTTATAAAAAAACTAAGAAATTTGAGGACAAAATTGAAAGCCTGGAATAGGGACCATTTTGAGACGATAGAGGATTTAAAATCTTCCTTGTTGACTCAGATTGAAGAATTGGACAAGAAGGAATCCCAAAGGACTATGAATGCACAAGAACGAGAGTTGAGGTGGAGTTTAAAGAAGCAATTAGAAGAGGTCCTGTTGCGGGAGGAGATCTCATGAAGGCAAAAATCATGGTTTAAATGGATCAAGGAAGGAGATGGGAACACAATTTTTTCATGCGATGGCCAATGGGAGGAGGAAAACTTTGTTGCACAACTTGAGATTGATGGAGAGGAAATCTCCTCTCAAGAAGAGATAGCCAGATGCTTTGTAGATCATTTTAAGTCAATTCTGAGAAGACCTCTTGATTGTAGGGTGGAAGTGGATGGTCTAGACTGGCTAAGTCTTTCTGAGAGGGAGAGGATATGGTTTGAAAGAAACTTTGAGGAGGAAGAGATCAGACAAGTAGTTTTCTTAATGGATAGATCTAAGGCTCCTAGGCCAGATGGATTTACGATGACCTTTTATCATGATTGTTGGAACATAGTTAAAAATGATTTACTTGAGGTCTCTAGGGAGTTTGAGGATAATTACGTTGTTAGCTCTGGAGTTAATGCTACTTTTGTAGCTCTTGTTCCCAAGAAGGCTGTTGCTAAGCATCCTAAGGACTTCAGACCAATTAGCTTGGTGACTAGTGTTTACAAAATTTTGGCTAAGGTCTTATCCTTGAGGATCAAAGTGGTACTCCCCTCTCTAATTAGTCAAGCTCAAGGTGCCTTTGTACAAGACAAACAAATAGTAGATCCAATTTTGATAGGTAATGAATGTGTAGAAGAGATGAAGAGATCAGGAAAAAAAGATTTTGTCTACAAATTGGATCTTGAAAAAACCTATGATTTGGTGGATTGGAGCTTCCTTTTAGAGGTGCTAAGAAAGTGTGGGTTTGGGGAAAGATGGTGCAAGTGGAATAAGGATTGTCTCACTTCTTGCCATTATTCTATCCTTGTCAATGGAGTAGTTAAGGACTTCTTCCCAGCTTGTAGAGGCTTAAGATAAGGTGATCCACTCTCCTCCTTTTTATTCACTGTTGTTGGTGATGTGTTAAGTAGATTGATTTCAAAAGCAGATAGGGAGGAGGTAGTGAGTGGTTGGAGAATAGGAAGAAATAGTGTGTCTGTGACTCATCTTCAGTTTGCAGATGATACTATAATCTTTTGTGAAGGAAGTGACTTGAGGAAGGTTGGGAACCTTAAGAACCTAATTACTTTTTTTGAAAAGGCCTCAAATCTAAAAATCAAGTTTGAAAAAAGTTGTGTGGTGGGAATCAATATGGATGCTCAAGAAATAGAGGCTATTGTAGGTTGCTTAGAGTGCTCCACCTCATCCTGGCCCTTAACTTATCTAGGTCTTCCCCTAGGAGCTAACCCAAAGGAAAGCCGATTTTGGATCCCTATTGTGGAAAAGTTTGGAAAGAAGTTGGCAAGTTGGAAAAAGAATTATATCTCTATAGGGGGTAGGGCGACTTTGATTAAATCCACACTTACTAATTTGTCGGTTTACTTTCTGTCTGTCTTTAAGATTCCTACTAGGGAAGCTAAGAGGATAGAGAAGATGATGAGGGACTTTTTGTGGGAGCCGGGGCAAGAGCAGAAGGATCATTTGATTAGATGGGAGTTAGTTAGTCGAAGTAAGGAGGAAGGAGGATTAGGATTAGGGAATAATACTTTTAAGAATGTAGCTCTTCTAGTTAAGTGGTTGTAGAGATGGCCTTTAGAGAGGGAGAGATTATGGCATGAAGTGGTGGCAAGTATCCATAGCTGTTCTGGAAATGGTTGGGAAGCAGGGGTATCCAGACAGGCAACTCTTGCAACACCTTGGAAGGCAATTCATGGCATCCTCCCACAGTTCCTACACTTTGTAAGGTATGATGCTTGCTTTGGGACTCGGGTTCTTTTCTAGGAAGACACTTGGGTAGGAAATTTGCCCCTTAAGGATCTATTCCCTTCTCTCTTCTCTATTTCCCTTTAATAAAAAAGAACCTGTGTCTTCCTTTCTTTTGTCCCTGTATACTCCCTTGCCGACAAATTGGGACCTTGGCTTCCGTAGAGGGTTGAGGGATGAGGAATCCCTATCAGTTTCTGAGCTCTTATTGCCACTTGATTTTGTTTGCCTGGACCCACTCATTTCTGATAGGAGGATTTGGACTTTGACTCCGAAAGGGTCGTTTACTTGTGCTTCTTTCTTTAATTCCCTTTGCTCCAATTCCTCTCCTTGGGCTTTCCCAGTTAAGGAAGTATGGTCTAGGCCTACTCCCCCAAAAATAGTCGTGTTTTGTTGGGAAGTTTACTATGGTAAAATCAATACAATGAATAACCTGCAAAAGAAAAGACCTTTCTTGTGTTTATCCCCTAACTGGTGTATTTTGTGTAAAGCGTAGAATGAGGACTGTTACCACTTATTGATTTCTTGTCCTTTTGCTGCAGCCATTTGGAATTGGGTATTTGATTTGTTTGAGTGCAGGTGGAACTTGCCAGCTGAGGTAAATTTGTTGTTTTCCCCTTCTACCTTTGTGTGGACCACAAGAAGAGGGAGAATCATGTTGAAGTGTATAAGAGCAGCTCTCCTTTGGACTATTTGGGAAGAGAGAAATTCCAGAATTTTTTAAGGAGAAGGAAAGAAGCATTCTTGAGGTCAAAGAGTGTATTATTACAAGGACTATTTTGTGGCTGAAATCCTTAAAACTCTTTGAAGATTATTCCTTTGAGGATTTAATGAGGAATTGATCTGTAGTTGCCCTCACTTCCTCTAGGAAGCCTAGAGTTCAAGTAACTTGGACTCCGCCGTTGGAGGGTTTTGTTAAGCTGAACTTTGACGGGAGTAGTCAGGGTAACCCAGGACTGTCTAGGATTGGTGGTGTACTGAGAGATGAGAACAGCAACATCATTGCCTTTTTTTCAGGACCGGTGGGAATAGGAGACTCTGTGAGAGCTGAACTCCTAGCTGCGGCACAGGGGGTACAGATTGCTTATCAACTTGGAGTGCAAAACTTAATAATTGAAGGAGACTCCAAGGTGGTAGTAGGATGGTTGGCTGACCAGGGTACTGTCACTTGGAACTTTAAGGATATCTTAAAAAAGGTCAAATGGCTATTGAGGGGCATGACAGTTAGAGTTCAATGGTTGGGTAGGTCGGCCAATGCCTTGGCC